AAAAATCATTGAAGAAGGATCGAACACGACTCATGGAAAGCACACCTATATGACAATGAGCGTCATAGGACATGTTAGTAGCATTAACAAAACATGCATGAAATAGTTCGCCATACAAAATGCAAAAAAACGTGATATTTGTACTAGATATTAGTGAAAGTGAAGAGAGAGCAGAGATTTCAACAGAATAGTATGGAGCAAAAGTGGAGATTTCAATAGGCAACTGAAGAGATAAGCCAAGGACATGGAAAAGTGTAGAGACAAGAACAAAATTTTGAGGGACTTCATTCAACAAGTTCAAAAAATTCTAAAATAAAAATGCTGCAATAGCGAAAGGATTTACCCCAAGAAAGTGAGGAGAAACTAGACATTTCAATGGAACGTGAAAAGTAGAAAGACAGCGATGTTTAGAATAAATAAGTAGCAATGTCAGTCGAGCGTCAAGCAAGAGTGTCCAGACAAGTGTCAAGCAAGAGTGCCAAGCAAGAGTGTCCAACCAGAGTGTCGGACAAGAGTGTCAAGCAAGAGTGTCTGACAAGACTGTTGAACAAGAGCGTCCAGCAAGAGTGTCTGACAACAGTGTCCAGCAAGAGTGTCTGACAATAGTGTTAGGAGAAGAGAGTCAAGGAAGAGTGTCAAGCAAGAGTTTCTAGCAAGCGTGTCAAGCAAGAGTGTCTGACAAGAGTGTCCAGCAAGAGTGTCTGAAAATGAAAACGTCTAGAGAAGTGCTGCCAGGAGGCGTCGAAAAGAGGCGTTGTACAAAATCTAGAGAACTGATGAAAATATGTGTTGAAAGGACGTGTTGTAGAGAAGTCTTGGCAAGAAGTGTTGTAAAGACGCGTTGTAGAAACATGTCCAGAGAAGTGTTTTACAGAAGGGTTGCAAAGACGTCTTGAAAAGAGGTGTTGTGGTGACGTGTTGCCAAGAATTGGCGCAAAGTTGCGTTGCAACGACTCGGCTACAAAAAGCGATGACAAGTGTTTTGAAAGGAGGTTTTGCAAAGAGGTGTTCTAAAGAAGTCTTGTAATATCCTTGCCCTGTCCCCGCCTCTGGATCTTCCTCCCCCTCCTAATCAAATTACTTGCTAGTGTAGGACGAGATGTGCCCGGCCGAAGGCATCCGACCAACGTTCGTCTTCTTCAAGATGTCACAAGACCTGGGCGCAGTGTAAAAGATGGATACTTGGGAAAAGTTTGCTGGTGAGGCAAAGCCCTGGTTAAGGATCAACTGGTCAAGGATTGGGAAATATTGGGAAGTTACACCACTGCTAGATATTTGTCATGTGGGGGGTTGAGATCAAGAGGCAGAGTAATGGGTTTCAGTTTCCAGTGTAGATGGAGCATGCATGTAAAGGAATGGTAATCACGACATCTCAGTACCACTATGGCTGCTTAAATGTAGTGCAATTGCAGCACCGAGTATACTCAACTGAGTTGAAATCGGTTGAAGTACGGAATCAATACTTATACAAAAGTAAATCACAGCCGGGGTGATTAATTGTTCGTTGAAAATACTGCTTTTAACAAGTTCTTGACTAACAAGGTTTATCAAATAATCAGGTAATCTTCTCTGAATGAAACCTGTTTTTGTACACTGACATATACTGACTGTCATGCAAAATGAAGTTGATCAACAAAACACAGAATTCCTACCTCTTCCCTGCTCCTACCTTCCCTGCGAATCGTCCCGTTTGACCAGGGTCTTTCCACCTCCCTGAGTTTCGGGTGAACATGGCCATGGAGATTGGAGGTCCAGGTGGGTCAAAAAAAACATGTAAATCCAGGGGTTCTGAACCATCGCTTCTTTCCCATTCCACTTTCCGACGGAGCAAGAAACACCGGACGGGTCTTCTGCTCTGCTCGTTAAATAGGTCATCCAAAACGGTAACGCCCAGCGGCCACGCGGGAAAAGTGCGATCTCTGCGTGGGCTCCATCATTGAACTACCCAAACTGGGATGCCGCCTCATTGTTTGCTGTCAGTCCCAATTCCATTGAAAGGACGTGTACCATCGTGTACCAACAAATTGAACAAAATAGCAGGGAATGAAATTCTTGAGATCTACTTCAGGATGTCGCACCTTACACACCTCACCCTTCCTAATCGAGGCCAAATCTCTCTTTCGCCGTCTTCAGCAACTGGATCGCTTGCTCGGACGGCTGCGTCCTGCGCGTTCACACCTGTCTCGTGTCGGGGAGCGACTCCCTCAGTTTTGGGGGGTATTCGGATCGGCCGTGGCGAGCCTTGGATGTGCTGATTTGGAACCATCCCAATAAGAATGGCCTTCACCCTAGTAGCGATGGCCTCCAACCTAAGAGGTATGGCCTCCCTAGAGCTCCAACCGTATCCTCAGAAGGTGGTTGCACCCGCCTGGCACGCACTCCAACTATCTTCGAAACGGAAGTAGTTGGAGCCCGTGGGCATTTTCATGCTCTTTCATACCGAGCGCATGTGAAGTGCCTGTGGTCAGGCTCGGCATCTAGCATCATGAATTCTTAAATAAACTACAAACACACATATTCCTGAGAAGAGGATTCATCCAGTTCGAGAAAGTGAGCACCTATGCAACTCCAGGGAGCGGCCCAACCAAGACCCCAGTGCGACCAGCGTCCTGAGCTGTGGCCATGAGATCCAGGCGTCGAAAATGGCTTCACTCAGTGACCACCTGGGTGGGGAGAAGGTGGGTGAGGCCCGGCTTCCGGGGAGGCCGTGCAACCAAACCGACGATGGGGGAATCAAACAAATGAATTAATTGAATCAAGGTGTCTTTTCTTTACCAACTGCGACAGGTAGGTCGTATGTAACATATGAAGCTAGAACTTGTTGTTGCCCGAAAGTCCAGCATGTGATGGGTGGTTGGATTCATGTGTCTTCCCCCAAGCATCCATCTGGTTCAAGGTCCTGGTAGACATCTGTCAGGGCCCCTCTCTTGGATGCTCCTCTCGAGAATCGGACCAGGGCGGCAAGCAGCAGCCGTGGTCGATGGGCCCCAGCGTGTGGGGTTTCTCCTGGTACTGGTGGATGCTGCAGCTGCTCTGTGGGGAAAAGTACAGGACATGTAATCTTTTCCTTGCCTAAAATAGAGATTTGTGTCTTTTCGATCTATAGGAATATATGTATATATATAGTCAATCACCAACTTTTGGCATACAGCGACGACAGCGACGGGTCTAAATCGTTGGCACAAAGCTACCGTCAGCTCAAGTTGCCATTTGTTTGTGCCAAACATTTGGCACATAGATACGTTTCTACTGATGCCATCTGCTTGTGATTCCCTATATATATATATAGTGCACAAAAGAAACAACGTCAAAGTTGGTAAGTGTGATTAATACACTTTTTTACATGTTTCGGGTTCTCTGTTCATCACCTCTTGGCTGTTTGGCTGTTACAGGTTGTCTGGTGAGTCTTGGTGTTTAGTGTCTTCTACCATTTGATGCCCTTGTGATCATACTCATGGTCATGTGCATGTGGCGTTGGAACTATCATCACTGTGATGTATGATCTATATATGTTTTTTTAAGCAACCCCCAACATATAGTTTATTTATGTATATAGTACATAATAAGCAGCCACCTCTTCAAAGTTCCATGAACTGTTTCTTGTCACTTTCTATTATCTCTGAAAGTCTGAATGTTGGTCTGCCTTGCGTCTTCAACTCTTCAACCTTGGACATGAGCGAGTTGAGTTCAGCAAGTGAGACAGCCGCCCATGATGATCTTACGGTACCAGCGCATCGGGCCGTACCACCGACTTCTCGGGCGGTTTCCGAGAGCAGCGACGAAGCGTTCACGACCGTTTCGCGGCCCGTGGACCCGAGGTCAGCGACGATCTGGTTCATGCTGAGTCGGGCATGAAGAGATGCTAGGGGACCGAAGAAATGGATGCCACTCATGGTCATGGTCACGGTATATGTTTGGTGCTGAATCAAAGAACCGAGAACGGCCGCAAACATCGAATTTCTGAGTCGTCCTGCCTCTTTGAGTAGGAGCAAATTGCCAGGATGCCGATCCTGGGACTTCCAACAGCTGCAGGAAGTAAGGGCTTTGGCATGCTCGGCAGTCTGCTTTATGATAGGATTAGAATGGGATTTGGGAAAAGGCCTGTCATTTTCAATTTGGAACACACTGCTTGTTTCTATGGAGGGTTAACAAGACCAAATCGGCTCATCTTTGCCGCGCCACAAACGGACACCCCCCTTCAGGAATTGTTAATTGCTTGTTGGTATGCAACACACATATTCTTTGCAAATAGAGATACCTCAAAGATCCTCAAAGAGCTTTCACATTATCACCCTTATCACGTTTCACGGCTGCCGCGGATTTCTCCCTTGCATATCCCACACTGTACATGACAAACCTGACTAGGAACATCTTTCCAAGTTGAAACGTGCTCATCGTGATGTGCACCTGAGGCGTGGAAAGATCACGTAAGACCCTAGCCGCTAGCCAGGCAAGTGCCCCAAACATGCTGATTTTTTGGGGGTGTGGACCATGTGACACACAGACTACACGATGTCATCAAACGGCTGAAGACGCGACTGACTCGCCAAGCTGCCATGTTGAAGACACGCATATCCAAGAGCGCCAAAGCTTCGGCGTTCTCCTGGCGGGTGCGAAGATTCGGGCCTTTCATTCGTTTGTGTTAATTAAGAGTGACAGTGGCACCCACTGTCACAAGCAAGGGACAGGAAGAGAAAATCCTTTGGTTTTGTCCAATTTTCTCCATTTCCGCGTGCACTCCAGAAGGCACAAAGAAATACTTAGGGTTCTTAGTATCTGAACAAAACTCCGACTCACTCCGACTCAAGTGGAAAACACCCTGTTTGTAGAAGAACATGATCTTCTTCGCCCCTGTCTGCGAAGTCGGTGGCGGAGGAATCGTCCCATCGAGAGAACTATGAAACCCTTCCAATTAGAGATCCCAAACACATGCATGTAGACCAAGGGTTCCTGGGGGGGGTCTAAGAGAGGGACGATATATTTGGAAGTCTTGACAGGTTTTTGTCTTTCAACCTAAGGATACTTAATATTGAAACATGTCCCCACTGTACCCCACGTCAACATCCCCTGACCCACCATCCATATCCCCTTGGTGGCCCTTACCCTTGCGAGTCCAGCCCTCAACATCCATCCAAGCAGAAGCCTCTAAACATCTTGAAACTCTGAAGCTACAGCTATATAACTCCACACCCCTCTTGCACCACCCCTCCATCCGTCCAACATCTCCCCATCCCACCAGGTCGTCGCTGGAGCAGGTCGCTCCTGGGCCACGAAGGCATGGGCGCGCTCCAGATCGCGGGGCATGGCATAGTCTTCGATGAAGCCTTGGACCTTGGGCTCCACACCCGGTGGCGGAGTCCCGCGGACGGGCCGGGGCGACGGGGGGGTGAGGGAGCCAAGGGCAGCAAGGGGAGGGTGAGATGGAGTTGACTGGGAGGGTGAGATGATCTGTTCGTAAGTAAGTCGGCCTTTCTTTGTGTTGAAGCGAGCACACCAAGGTAAAACTGTCACGATGGACAGTTCTTGAGGATCTCTTTTCCGGCAAGAATTGACGTCAACCAAATGTCTTGGACGTTGAGTGAGAGTAGATGGCAAGGTAGGATCCCAATACCCTACTGGAATCTACTAGATCTACTAGCTCCTTGTTCTGTGGAACCACAATGTCTAGAACCTTTTTGGCGACCGCCCGACTCCGCCGGCCACTAGCAAACGCCACTAGCCCCACCGGTGGGTCCTGGTATGTCGGTAGGAAGATCTGCTTTCACAACCACCGGATTCAGGTTTAAATGGACATGCCGAGGTCTCCAAACAGATCTTTTCGGGTCATGTTGTATGGAATCATTATAGCTACCCATAAATGAAGTAAATGTATTTCATACATGGATGCTCTGGGATTCTTGATTTCAAGGGCAAACATGGGTTTTGACACCTTGTGTCACCTATTTCAGGTGCCGAATGGAAGCAGTTGGATGACACGGACACTTTCGACCCACGGACTCCCACCTCCATCATGAAGGCTTGAACTGAGCCTGGCACTTCACCCGCACGTCGGATCCCGGTGAGAAAGAAAGAGTGCAAAAACCTTGGAGGTGGATCACATCTGGGACCTGAAGGGCAAACAACATTTCAAAACGGCATGCGAACATGGATGTCTTTGTGCGAACAATTCTGGTGAAATGAGTTGATGTGAGTTGTGTGGTTGACGTTGTTTGAAAGGGACACTCCTGTGTGGCTTTCCATGTAATTTCTTGCAAATTCTAGATGCTTGATTGCTTCTTTTTATACCGCAACTCACATAGACTTTTAGATCCCACAGCCAATCCCATAACCCCAAGCGATTCCGCCACATGGCCTTCCATGACGTCTTCGCCCACCTTGCGCCCAACCAACGGCGGTGGGCCGAAGGTCAAGGTGGCCGGGCCGTGGTTTTCAAGGGAATCGAGTTCGCACATGTTTATAAGCGGTTTGCATGGTTAATTGTATCCTTTTGTGGTGTTTGCCGCGTTTGCCCATCCGGCCGTTTTCCTGACTAGACCTTTTGTGGACACCTGGTCAACATGTGGCTGTGACTTACGTTTCAGAGTAGATGGCACAAACCCCAAGATGACTTAAAGCCAACCGTCAAGTCCAAGCTACCTTCACATGTGGAAATGGCTCGGTTCATGATGGACCACAGCCAAAGAAAAAGCGATAGTTTCATCTCTTCAAAGAAGAGGAGCATAGTTTGAGATTGACCACGAAGTGAACAAAAGAAATACGGTGTTTCCGAACCACTCACACTCATTGTTGAAAACACACAGCTTTGCTGCATTGATACCCCCATATATCCTTCAGTATAGCATTTATATATAGTCTCTATCTAGGTCTAACATTGGCCTTATGTAAGGAGGATTGTTAAGAGTAGTTCCGGATAGTTGGTGAAGTTTTTGAACTTTTAGATAGCCGGGGTCAAGTCTTATAACTTAGAAACCACCTAACTTGGGGACTGTGCCATCGAACCTCTCCATCCCATCTTTGGTTTCTCGTCGGACTTCCAAGTGCTGACCTTCGGGCGAATGAAAGGCGTCGCCAGGCTGACCTTGGGTCCTTCGTGGTGCTTCGTGCGACAAGGCAACACCCTCAAGGTTCCAAGCTTTCTTCCCAGCACTCAGACAAGGACATCTGAGCTGGGCAAAAGACACATGATTAAACCCCTATGTCGCATAACTTTCTTACGCTCCTGCTTAAGCCTGTTTTGAATGTTTTGATAGGAAGTTGGGCCCTATTTTGGGTGGTTGGTGGTCCAAAATAGAGGTCATTCAGACCCCATGTTTCATCGGTGCTGCTGTGTGCAGCTCCAGTGTCAATTCCTGGCCTTGATGGTCGCCCGACTGGAGACTGGCACACCAGCCTCGGCGGAGGGGTCGGAGGGGAGGGCTCATGGAACGAAGATGTTGGAAGATCAGGCGGAGAAAGCGACCAACCAGGAGTCACATCGTCGGGGTGCCGAACGAACGGAGGAAGGAGTATAGGTGCCCCTGCATCCACTTTCGCCCTGGATGGGACGAACCAAACCACCCCGACATGTGACTTCTGGGATCTATTGCTAGGAAATCCATACTGATAAAATGCTGCAAAAGATATGCTAGAATAGAAGATCTGTATGAGAACGTCTCAAATTCAGGGCACCTTGAATCACTACACATAAAAGGATCATCCAGGAATGATCCATATGTTAGTGAAGGGATACCAAGCCATCCCACCCTCGCAGGAGCAACCACATCTTTGCAACATTTTGCAAAGCATATCAATCAATTATCAACTATATCAAGATTTTCAACGTCATGTTTTTCAGATGGCATGACTCCTCGCAAATGGCATGTGTTTCTCTTGGAATTGCGATGGGCAGGCACGCTCACTCGGAACCAGCACCTCAACTCGTTTACTCGTTTCGAGAAGCCAAAGACCGCGAACGTCGTCCCAGCCTTCGAGCCACACATGCGGTCCACCAGGTAGACGGCCTCCTCCCGCACGGCGCCTGGAGAAGTACGCGGCTCGGGGGGCGTGGAACCGTGCAAGCGCATTGCTGGGGCGTTCGACCCGGACGTGTTTGGCAGCATCAGGCGGTGAAATCGGACTCTCAAGAGCGTACCTTATTATGATCCTTTTTCTCAAACAATCCATTATGGCATAGCTTCTTCCTCCGATTTCAACACCCGATTTTTGGCGGGGTCACATGCGAGGTAGGGGTCCATGCACTGCCACCAATGGTTAAAACCATCAGAAACCCTCACACCCCCTGTTAGAGGCGACCAAATTCGAAAGACATGGGAGGTGCTGGGGAATCTGAACACAAAAACCACGTCTAGCTGCCTAGCTAGCAAACACGCGCCAGCTCACAACGAGCTCACACACCTTCGTCGTTCCTTCCCGAAAACGGTGGAAGATCTGTGCTCCAAATCCATGACCATCGCCGATCCGTGCTCCGGTCTTCAGAAGGAAGAACCCTGTTCAGAGACAGAACGTACGGATCCGGATCCGGATCCGGTGCCATCCTGAGCCCGCATCCAGACTCTTTCGGGAGAACTTCTCACCATCCACCTGGGAAAAACACTGCGATGACGTGGGATGACGTGGGTTTTGTTGCGCTCAAAGGGCCAACGATTGCACCACAAACTGCGGGGGTCAGTGAGAGAAGCCCCATAGGCTTTACAACAAGATACAACAAGAAATAGAATGATGCAACTGAATCATAACATAATGTATAGTATGCATGGTTGTTGCTCACACCCACAACCTTCACGCCCAGATTCTATCAGGCTACCCGAGCCTCTCGAATTATCAGGTGAGATCCAATTGGACACATACCTGGTCCGAAAGACCTCGAACGCATGATGGAAGTGGAACACCACCACCACCTGTCTCTACAGGATTTCACGGTCTATACCCGGCGGGCGATCCATCAACTTCCATGGAACGTGAGTCAAAGCGTCTACGAATTCACCCCTAAAGGTGTCTCTCTCTCTCTGACGTATTTGAGACCTGTTCGCGAATCGCATCGCCACACACGCACAAAGGTCCGAGCTGGCTTAAAGACCGCGATCTTGTCATCTCCGGCCTCTTCAAGCTTTCTTCGCTCAGCGGGGGGGCACCGCTTCAATGGGATTCAGAACGGTGCTACACATCTTTGACGTCTAAACCTTCGCAGCTGAAAAGAGGGTCTGGGAGAAAAGGAATCTTCTTGAAGATTCGTGGTTGCTACGGTCTCTTTGGTATGTCGGGACGATGATGCATATGATGCCCTGCCTGCAAAGGGATGCGTCTGGGCGCAAGCATTGCGGATATGGTAAAGTTTTCCAACACGAGAAGATTATAACTCTATAACAAGCTGACAAATCTATACAAAGCTACACACACAACAAAAAAGGACAGATTCAGGCCAAGAAACACATTGAAAAATAAATAACACATCCTTAAGGAGATGGGATCTGTCCACCCACCGACTTCATACCGAGCGCGGTTGTGGAGAGACGCCCTCACCTCCAAGGCATAGACGGTCCCTGTCTGCCCATGGTCCAGCGAGGTGGAAGAGACACCTGCCTCGTCCGGACGACGAGTCGTCGACGAGGGAAGAACGCGTCCGTCCGACAAGAAAGAAGGGAAGGTGATTCGTTCGTCCATCGTTCTCCGCGGCGAGGTTTCGGAGTCTTTTGGGCTTTTGGTGGCCGCTAGCTATTGGCATGTTTGACTCGAAAGGCTGACCAGACCAGCAAACGATAGAAAGGCTTTGGTTTTGAGTTTTCGAGTGTTGACGGGTGTTGCAAGATACTGCAGGGAAGTTCGCCCCTGGAATCATCCTGACCTTAAAGTTAAATAATTGTGACATATTCTGACACGCAACACGATCACAAGATGTCAAATTGGATCTAAAATGATCCAAAATCGGCCTAACAATGGCTCATATGAAGAGAACATGTCAACTTCTCTGGTCTTCTGGCACATTTGCCAGCTGCAGCCTTCAAATTGGCCATGAGACAGGGCGGGGAAAAAATCAACTGGATTGCCCCACGCAACAGTCAACCGTTCCAGAGATCGGTTGATTGATAGCATCTATTGTGTGTTATTCTTGGTGGACAAAGCCACACCTGTCAGCACTTTCAGATGGCGCACCTCAATCTTCTCCTTCAGCAGTGCCCGATTGCTGAAGCCCTCAGAGGGCCATGGTCGTTCCGGGTCTGCTTCAAACGCGAGTCTTCTCGCTGCCCGGAGGAGGTACCAGGCCACCAGTGGAGAGACCCTGAGGGGATCTCCAGGATTTCTGCATCGATTTTGGATCCACACGCACGGTCTGACCGTAGATTCTTTTGGGGGATTATGGAGCAAGTTGGGTCCATGTCACTCCGGGGCCGCGGGGTGCATGATTTGGCACCATTTAAGACATCTGTTTGAGATGGAGGCTTCCAACAAGCTCGCTTCCAAGGACAGGAAGGCCGGATCGCTGTTGAAGGAACGCAAATGGACCGGACAGAACCCGCGTTAGGCACCCGTTCCAGATGGACAAATCGTGGTCTTATCTTCAAACGATCTCGGATCATTGTCTGAAAGGTGCATTTGGTCACAATAAAATAGATCAGGGATTCTTCACTCTCCTTTCCACACAATCTTCCATCCCTACTGGTGGAGTTCCATTTTGCCGGAACTTGTGGCTTGACATCATCACCCTTTTCGCCACGTTCCACTTCCTCTATCGTTGAGATCGGGCACATTGAAATTGCCCAAGGTGTCAGTGTGGAAGAGGGACGGTCTCGATCCCCCTCGTTCCAGCTCCTACGAACAACACGCGCGAGCCGCCAGTAACGGGATCAACATGTTGAGACGCGCGATTCGTGGGCGCTGAATGGTTGACAACTCAACTCTGTTCGACTGTGTGTGTTTGTGTTTGTTTGTTTGCTGGTCATGTTTGTTTAATATGCTTTATTTGCGGCTCTACATCACTGAAAATAATGTAAAATAAGTATAGTATTTGAGCAAACGTATGCAAACCTCTAACAACGCGACGTACATGCTCTGTGTAAACGCACTGTTTGTCTTCGGTCAGGACCGAATTTGAACGAATTTGAAAGCACACAAATCATGGTTGTTTGGAAGTCTGGGGGCATTTGTTCCCGCATGCACAGCCTCCAAAGACACAACGTATATATATACTATTATATACCAAACATAACATCATACCATCCACCATATTTTTTTACACACAACAACTGCAGCCTGCAGCCCTTCGCTCCTCGATCTCATCTTTATCCTCTGTGAGCTCCTTCTCCTTGATGTGCGCATCCTTCCGTGGCACCTCACGCACCGACAAGCTGCGGTCCTGGCGCGGCCCTCACTGCATTGGGAGAGGCGATAAAGGATGAGCTTCGAAGCCAAAGACTCCATGGAGATCTCATGGATGGCAGAATTATGTATATGGACAACTTGGAAGCACCACACCAATTTGCAGGCAAACATAACATATTACGTATGACATATATAATGGGATATTATATCTGCAATAAATGGAGTGTGTGGGTGAAGAAGATTCAGGACCAACTCTTGTGATTCATACAATGAGTTCCATGATTACACTGCATCTGCACATGTTAATAAGGATCTTGATAAGGATCCACGATCCCCAACAAAAAAACAACGAGATCTCTCTGAAACAAGATGGTTCATCGCCCATCACCTCCAAGCTCAGAGGATGGAAGATTGTGTGGAAAGGAGAGTGAAGCATCCCTGATCTATTTTATTGTGACCAAATGCACCTTTCAGACAATGATCCGAGATCGTTTGAAGATAAGACCACGATTTGTCCATCTGGAACGGGTGCCTAACGCGGGTTCTGTCCGGTCCATTCGCGTTCCTTCAACAGCGATCCGGCCGAGTGTCCTTGGAAGCGAGCTTGTTGGAAGCCTCCATCTCAAACAAATGTCTTAAACAAGAGTATTACAGTAACAGTATTACAGTATATGACCATTCTACAGTCACTCTCGCAAGTAGAACATGGCATCCACAGGTTGGTGGACGATGTGGATGGTCAGTACCTGTAAAGAACCACGGCACAACGATGCACAAAGGCCGAACGACCCACCAAATCCCTGAGATTGATGGCACTCTCCCGAACCGGTAGGATGCCAAGCCCAAACAACTGCTCCTTTCAGGTCCTTTCATATCTGAACACTCTGTGGTCCTTGATCTGCAAATTGGAGAACACGCCACAAAGCAGGCCCTCCACCTGCCGCCGCCATGTGAGTGTGGCACTAAAACAATCATAGTATCCCAAACACTCCTTTACATGTCATGGGGTGGTGTCAAGGTAGGTCAAGGTAGGTACTGTAAATATGCCATAGACGTGGAGTGTCTGCGTCCACAGAACTACTTGTGAAAAGCACATTAACATTGGCTCTTGATCTGTTCAATTCTGTACTTCGTGAGGTCCGGGTCCATCGATGCGTGTTTCTTTGTTTTTTTCCCTCCGCACATCAGGACGTTTGCACGAGACTCGACCCATCCCAAACGGTCCTTGACAATACACTGTATGACATTCATCAACAAACAACCACCAAAATCTATAGGCCAGACGGCCGATGCGGCCGAGCGATGTTTGCTCACATGATCTTACATGGATCGTCTGGGAATCCGTTGATTCCGTAGATCCACTGGTCACAGTGGCCAGGTGGACCACTCGTTGGTCACAAAATCACCTGGGGGCCCAGTCAAGGGGCTCTCAACACCTGAACTGAAACCTTGTATCCCCTCGGAGCCCCTTGGGGTCTTCATGTTGGTGTGGCTGTTGAAGTGCTGTTGGTGTGGCTGTCTTCGCTCTCGTGACCTGTTCCTTGAACAACTTTGGATCTCTTGGCAGAGAAGAATGAACAAGCTGAACAAACATATAAACACACATAATGGCACCCATCAAATCAGCAATCACCTACAGTGGTTTCAGAGTAGAGGGCGCAGTCTCCAAGTTTGGTGGTTTATGTGGACCCCCATATAGAGAAAAACACATCTGTGGGTGCCAGTGCCATCTATTCTGAAACCACTGTAGGGACTTAGGGCCTTCTCGGAGCTGAGTCGCACATTTTTCTCTGACAGCTGCTCAGAGGAGGAGGCCAGCACTGCAGCAAACTCCGGAATCCACAACCTTCCCTTCACAATCCGATGAAAAGGGCTTTTGTGGCTCATGAATTGAAGGGGAGCTCATTTCAGCTCACGTCATTTGACCGCCAACCGCATGGTCCATATCAACCTTCCCCCCCTCCCATCCATTCCCATTCCACAGCTGCACCTGGACGGTGGCTGTTCGGTTGATGGCGTCTTCACCTGAGAAAACACGGCGGCTTCGAAGCACCAGCTGCAGTCACTCTGCCCTTTTGGTTTGGACGGGTCCAACGCCCGCCTCGAAAACCCCAGAGCCATCAGCAGTGCGAAGCGAAAACCACACACCTACCCAAGATTCACCTGGTTTTCTGCTATTCAATATCACTGGACAAACACAGAAGGGGGCTGAGTGAACAACTTTGAATCAGAAAGGACTTTGGAAGACTAGAAACGTTCAGGCCAGGCAGCATTTTCTCCGCAGCACATTTGTGGAAACTGCTGAAACATGCTGAAACTGCTGAAACCTCCCAAATCCGGATGGGTTGTGAAATGATGTCAACCATTCTGATGGAGGGAGCCACATATCCTCCCATGGTACGGTAGGACCGACGGCTGAACGGGATCCGCTTCATCCACCGGTGGAACCTGCGACCGAGGGACCGCTCACGGGATCCTTCCAGCAGGGGAAGGCCTGCGCAATGCACAGGGAAGAAAGGCAGAACAGGCGTTTTTTGGGAGGCAATTGTGGGGCAACACTGTAGTCATACTCTATATATATACTATACTATATACTATGCTATTTACTATACTATATACTCTACTCTATACTATACTATACTATACTCTATACTATACTCTACTCTATACTATACTATACTGTACTGTCGAATACTATACTATACTACTATTGGATGCATGTATCATTTCAGGGAACCTAAAAAAACACATCACCCCAGTGGATCCAATATGATCCAATAAAACACGCGAGGCCAAAACAATCCCACAAGCAAAAAAACACGTGCAACCTGGGATTTGACTCCACATCCGGTCTGCATGTTCAAGACTGTAAGTCAAAACATGTCAATAACTCTACTATCTGTACTAATTATAGTGACTATCTATCTGTACTAATTATAGTGACTATCTGTACTATCTGTCAATAACTATTTTCATGTGCAGTGTCACAGACTGTACTATCTGTACTCCCTTGCTTCTTTCGGTGAAGAAAAATTCCCGTTCGGAACAGCCAGCTTTTGCGAGGCGGGGAACTCACGCCCGGAAAAGGCTGAGAGCAGGTGTGCTTGGGAGAGCACACACTAGCACAAAACCTTTAGAAAACACTGTAAGTACCGTGCAAAATTTCAAAAACTGGTCTGGGACCTAGGCGAAACGCATATTTTTCAACCTTGCTGTGCCCAGTCTGGATGCGCAATGTCAGTTACAACTATTAACAGCTCTTCGTCTGCCCACTATCAATGTGTAACACCAATGACAAGTAGCTTAATCTTTCTCTGCGCGCAATGAATGTAGCATCATGAGCGAATGTAAATATAATACTATATATATACATCAAGATGAACATGTACGTCAGATGATTTTGCTTTAGTCTCTTGCTTCTGTTTTTATTGATGTATTTTTATGTGTCCATTTTGTAAAAACATCTCCCAAAGCACCCGTATTGTTAATAAACAGGCCCCCCCTTGAGTAAAGTTCATTCCAGATTCAAAGAAAGGAGTTTGAGAAGCAATTGAAATGAATCTTTACTTAGGACAAATTCCTGGAATTGAGATCAAAGGGACTTTTAAGAAAAGAGTTTAATAAGGAAATGAAAAACTATTTTTATTGACACAGAAAGGCAATTCTAGGAAAGGAGTTTAATAAGGAACTAAACAAATCTTTACTTAGAACAGAAAGGAAATTCTAAGAAAGGAGCTTAATAAGTGATTTTTTAAAACTTAGAACAAACAGGGAATTCTACAAAAGGACATTCATAAGGAAATGAAATCAATCTTTAGATTCTTAGAACAGGCAACACACATGTTTAGCCTACCTTATTTAGGGTGCACTTTATTTAGGGTATGGTGGCTTCATGAGGGGTAGCCTTTCCAGAGTCATAGAGTCATTTTGATCAAATTTGAATGGCTTTTAACGGCGTTTAAATGAGGGTTCTATACAAAATTTTCTACGCAGGACTTGCGTTTAGCGATACTGTCGGACGCACAGCACAGTGGCGCCAGTACTCGGCAAAAGCCGTTGTACAAACCCTGAAATCTATGCATCCGTGTCAGAAATGTAATTTATTGAAGGAAAGTTTGCTGCGCGACAAAGTTTAAGTGAAAACCCAAAACCAAAAACAACAAGAACAAAAACACAAAAAACAACAAACACACAAAAAGCAAACAAAACATAAACACAAAAAGCCATGTTTGAGACAACATTGAAGCAACACACCAAAAAAATCAACTCCTATAGTACCCCCCCATTTTGTCTCAAACATTGTTGTTTCTTGTTTTTATGTTTTGTTGTTTGTTTTGTGCTGTTTTTGGCTTTGTAGTATTCCCTCAAAACTGTTATAGGCCTGGCCCTCACAAACTTGATCTAAAAATAGCTGAAGACCTAGGTTTTGGTGATGTTTTAGCCAAACACCACTGTAAAACACCGTGTTTTTTAAATCACTTCTTGTACAAAAAACATCTCCCAGGAGCACCCGTTCTGAAAAGGCTCCGATCGCTCTCCCTGACCGCTCCAACCGAAGACATGGTAAGACATGGAAGGCCAGCGGCCTTTGGGACGCTTCCAAAAAACAAACAGGATTGGGTTTTTGTCCACAGTCACATCCAAAATGAGGCTCCAAACAGCCTTTGGTGTCCAATTGATCGTCGTTTCAAAACAGGACCTTCCGCACGGAGGTTTTTGATTCGCCACCCTCCATGTTGCAGCCACGGTGTATCGGAGCGGGTGGAAGGTGCTTTCGCCTCTTTCGGGTGTCGCCCCTTCAGAACTTCTTGGTGTCGCGCGTCCTGGGGGGGTTCAAACCACGCAACTTCAGAACTTCGGCTTGGACTCAGCCTGGACTCTCAGGGATAAGTGAGAAGTGCCAGGAGCACTCTCCGCAGCCACTCGGAGAGTTTGACCCCGGGGAGCACCTGCGCCTCCGGTCCCGGAGAACGTAAGCCGCCGAACGCGAAGGACAAAACCACCCAGCCCAACCCCCCAGCCCAACCGCTGAGGCCACCGGCACTTTGCGTCCGAGGCAACCCGTCTTTGTAGGCCGCCTGGAGGTCTAACAAGCAACACGCGGTGGTCTTCGGTCTAACAAGCGAAGAAGGGGACACCCCCTACGTGAATCACTATGAATATACTCTGGGTATATCATATCCTCTTCCCTGCATTAGTGGATGATGACGCTTAGTTAGTAAAGGCCTTGTTCAAAAATGTTGATCATATGTGATAATTGTTTACTGACTGTAAAAAGTAACCCAAAGTATCCCAAATTACTGTATACTATTCTGATCTGAATAAAGTTCATTGTCAATTTATTGCTTCTTCCGTGTGTTGACATGAGGCGCTGCAGCAGGTACAACGAAGCTCGGACGTCTCAACTTGGAAAGGCCTGACAGCCTGACACTGTCACCGACTCAGGTTTTCTCGCATCTCAGAGCTCCGAAGTGGGGACTGCTTCAGAATAGAACAGGATCCTTTCCGGTTTGCCAAGGAAGCTATAGTCTTCCAACATTCATGTTCAAGGTCCGTCTTCAGAGGTGTGACTAGACATCCACGGTCAATGATGATATACAACATGTTGGTCTTATTGGGATGTGGCCCATGACCCATCATGATCCATTGAGATGTATCAATCGTATCCGTGTCCACATTTGGATTGCTTGAGAAAACACATTTCACACAAAAATATATACCAGCACCCTCCAACAGGTCACCACCTGCTACTTTTAAGTCTCCATTTCAGCCACCATTTGGGAGACCTGTTGGAGGTTGCTGGAATTTGGGAGACCTCGTGTCACAAACTCCATGAGATTCCCATCATCCGCCGCTCCTTACGACAACAACTTCCGGCATTCCATGGGCTTACTTGAAAAACCGCTGGGTCCCTTGAGCTTGAAACCGTGTCCAAAACACTGTTTTGACCACTCTCCAACTTACTCATGACTCGTGTCACAACAACGTACCAACCACCCCAAAAACCTATCTGGTGGACCTCCAGAACAATCTGTTTGGTTCATTTTGGGTGTCCAGATTCCACTCGATCGTCAGCGCAAGCCTCGATCGTCAGCGCAGGGCAAATACTTGCTGACCTCTTGCCTGAGCGAGACGTCTCCGCCGACGTCTCCGCGACGTCTCCGCGACACACTTCGACCATCAGAACGGTCAAACAACTAGATCTTGTGATCGCCAATCATTGGGCAGCTGTGATGGTATTAGATCTTGCCCAGGCAAACAAAATACGCATTCCAGCGCAAGGTTATGGGTTAACCATGAACCTTTTGCCTTCACAAAATGGACGAGTCTCTTGGATCCAAGTGACTGTCAACGGCACAAGTTGATGCATATGTTTTTTGTCACCCAGTGTATTGATGTGCGGGCTGCCAAAGACAACCACTATAGGGACCCCTTGGCAATGTTTTTGAACGAGATCTGAATCGGCGGCGTCTACGCCATCCATGACTTGCAGGTTTTTGTATGCTCGCTTCATCCTGCCTGTCACAATAGATTTCAAGCACCCAGGCTCTCCCGATACAGGAGACAAAAATCTGTCACATAGACACTTGTTTGTTCCAAGGCAGTCAAAGGAAGAGGGATGGTGGCAGCATTGGTCTTCTTTTTCAAGCGGAACCGCCGCCGGCAGAGTGCGATATGTTGCCAATGTCATGGATGTCGCAAGAATGTGTATGCGCTCTGTGCCAAATGCACAGATGGAGCTTTTTATTAACAAACAAAGTACCTGATGCATCGCGACATCCAAGAATGATCGAGTATCCTGGTGCACAAAAAGTGGTGTGTCAGGTATGCGGCACATCAGCAAAAAGATTGCTTCTACCCGAGTTGCGATCCTATCGGCAATCTCCAGAATGGACTGGGCGGCAACCTATGCCTGTGTGGGCGTGCGATGACTGCTACGATGCATCTCCCAAAGCATTGCTGCGCGTCAAGTTTGATTTGCTGAAAGCAGAGGCTTTGCAAACCAAATCGAGCCATCTCTAAGCGATGAAACAACGATGGAGAAAAAACCTTGAGCTCATGAAATTGCTGCTACAATGTCAAACAAAGTGATGCAGTGCATGCTCTTCTGCAAGTTAGTAGTCTTTCGTCCCTTCGAGTCTTGTGCCCGCAAGCAAAAAGCCTCCCATCGATCTACGTGCATGGATCCGATCGCTTCGGTTGCAACCGTCGTCATGCTGCTTGGCACATTCCGGTGATGCGTTGACGTGGCACGGCCAGCCTCAACCCCAGGTGTCACAGACTGTGTCAGATTAATCTCTTCATACGTTTCATACGGGGCTTGGGTTAGCTGAACATCTGGCTGTGCCGGATCGGGGAGGGCGTTGAACTGCACCTCGTATCATTTTGTTGAAGCTCTAAGGGTCGTCTCTTTGATCTGCAGTCTTTGCTCTCCCAACCGGACGTGATCATACACTCATGTTTGCCAAGAAACTCGGAATCCCAACTAAGTGGCTGGAGTGGTTCAAATCGGTCAAACATAATGCCATATGGTGAACACTGACTAGTGATTCACTCGCAAACTTCACACAAGACAAACGCGGAAGTGCATGGGTCAAACGCTGCGGCTGCCGAAACTGGCGAAACATACACAAAGGCCCACGACCGGCGACAGGACCTCGGCCCGGTCGATGCCAAGTGGCCCAGACCGGCGACGGTCGTGGCTTTACCTCGGGGCAGGTTGGGGGAAGACGGTCTGGCTTTTGGAGGATGAAAGGAGTTGGTTTCCTTGGCGATGGAAAGGAACGAGTTGTTGGTGGATGTTGGTGGCATATGTGGGCCTGAGCATCCACTCTTTTAGCAGTTGGTGTTTGCATGTGAAGTGGTTCTTCCATGGGTGAGTTGCTTGATTGGGTGGTTGGTGTGTCGATGGGGTATCCAGACTGCGCGAGCGCGATGCTAGGAAACACACAAGGCAAGAGAAAACCAGATCGGCAGTGTAGAGTGGCCAGAGTTCAACACTTGCATTTGTTTTGGCCAGGAGTGATGGCGCCGTTCTCACTCGCTCTGTTCGAGGAAGGTGCCATCAAGGCAAAGAAGGAAGGCGAGGCCGTTGATGCCCCCAGTCAAAAAATGAAAACCTAGCTGCGGGAGATGGCGAGGCTCTCGCTTCGTTTGAGGTAGATGAGTTTTGAACATTTAGAGAAGGAAGCATCCATTCCAACGTAGCATCCCCCCTTCAAAGAAGATCCCGAACCCCCCTTAGAACAAGATCCCCACCCTCTAAACTTTGTTCTCCAAAGGCGCCTTTCTAAGCAGCTAAGCAGCTACAGTAGCTCCCCCCCATTGAGAAGATGTCCCTCTACCCTTAGAAATCCCTCCGTACGAACCACGGACGAAACGTTTGTCATAGACCATGTCGACATCGGTGCCCGGTTTGGTCGTCAATCGTAACCGTCGTAACCAACCAAAGATCGACACATGGACTTCCTTCCAAACTTGAATCCCCTATATGTCTATAGGAACTATATACTAATTATAGGAACTATATATGGAACTATAAACGCATTCTGCATGAGTGGTGATCCAACCGATTGAATAAATCATCAGACTTGACTAGACTCTTGTCCTTGAATGGGACATGGTAGGACATGGCTTTCACTTCGTTTCGATGGGACATGCCACGTTCGCAACGTCTGGGGTACCCCAGCCGCCCGGAGCGGTGCTAACGGTGCGCAGGGAGCTCAACTCAGGCTTTTGGCCTCACCAACCGAAGCGAAGTCCTTGGTCCTTTGGCCGGACCAGCGCCTGACTTCACAGGTCACCACCTACCACTTAAGTCTGCAAAAGTCACCAGAGGAGACCTCTTGGAAGTGAGGGACATATTTGTTTGTTGGCTTGTTTTGTTTAGGCATTTCTCAGGCCTTCTCTGAGGCCCTGTGGGTGGTGGCTTTGTCGTCGTCATCATCATCGTAAAGTCGACACTAATGTATCCCAAATGCCATGTATGGCATATATACCTACATTCACCCCTGAAACCACCCTTAATCTATAAATATTCCATAATATTCCATACATGGAGTGTCTGCTAAGGAACGTGCAAAAAACATGGTTTCCATCCGTTGTCTGGGATTGCTCGATGCTTCTGGAACAACTCGCAGTAAAGCATCTTTAGAATGCAGACTTCTGTGTGGATTTGCCAAACCTATGCTGTAATTATTCCTCTGGCGGTTTGCAAGTGCCGTCCGAGATTTCTATCACCATGGCTCAACATTCAAGACAGCCGTAATATAGTGCCGTACTCTGCGCGACCAGGAGGCCTTGAACCCCGGCAGCATATCGGCTTCACCCACACGCAGCGCGGTCCGGAGTCTCCGCCTCCGCCGCTGTTCGGCAGGACTGCGGCCAAAGCACCCTGGCAGAGTTCAAGCGGAATCGCTGGAACAGGAGAGGTGAGTCAGCTTCTGGGAGGCATCAAGATCTATCAAGAACTATATACCACCATCCAAAGTGCAAATAATTAAGCAAACCACATCTATCATCTGCAATGTCACACTCGGGCCAGCCTATAGACATCTATAGACCCCATGTGTACATGGCCCATCGCTCTATAGAATCCCACCTTGAGGCCAGAATCGTCCAAAAAAGTCCCCCATAGTCCTCCGCGCTGGCCTCATTAACTGCCCCATCTTCTTGACGAGTTTCGCGAAACCGTCGAAACGGCGCGCAGTCGAAACGGTGCGGGCCTGGGCGCCGCCGACAAGCCGCGCGCAGGCGCTTTCCGAGAGCTCCAAATGCTCCGCCAAGTCCGCGGCGTGCTCTGCCAGCTCCTCACGCGTGCGGTGGGCGGGAGGGAGACGGAGGAGGAAAGTGACAGAGAAACATTCCTGATACTTACTACTACTACTACTACTACTACTCCTACTCCAACTCCCACTCCCACTCCTACTCCTACTCCTACCACTCCTGCTCCTCCTACTGGTCCTCCTACTGCTCCTCCTACTGCTACTGCTACTGCTCCTGCTACTGCTACTGCTACTGCTACTGCTCCTGCTACTACTACTGCTACTACTGCAATTGCTACTACTAAGGGGTCCTTATACGACCTTCACAAACAATGCGTTAGGCCATCTTTTTTCTTGCGGCAGGTCTGTGCTTCACTTCACCTGGAGCGAAATTCGGGCACGCAAACCCGAAGTCTTTTCACCAACACCCTTAGTGACATCGTCTTGTTATTGTTCTTGACTTCTTCTTGTTGTCTTGATTCGTTATGTTCATACCTAACCACGGCCTTACAATCCAAATTCTTGATTTGTTTTAAAGGGATTGCTGCTGGGGATCCTGGCCCTTCAAAGAGGCACTTCAAAGAGGCATTCCTCGTCGCCTGCCACACCAACATCTGCCCAGCCAGTCTTTGACAAATACCGTTAGATTTGACGCGCAATATCAAAAAACACTTTCCTTCCCGTAGGGCGCCGCCCAAGTCGACGCAAAAACGTGAAAATTGGATTGCGAGCCTTCCACCAACGGCCAACTTCCGAGCTCAGGCAGCTACTGTAGTCGCAGGTACTCAGCATTCATAGGAAGAAAATCGGGGGAGATGCAACGCTGGTTAGGGCGCAAAACCCAAAACTATTCGATTAACAAGACTCCTAGGACTGGTGAACCCTTACGAACCCAAGCCCCAGCGGCCGTCCGGAAACCTTCCCAGAAGTTCGTAGCAGATCTTTTGGATGCGCTAGGTATTCGTATAAATGCATATAGGGTATTTCCCGTCAATCCCGCAACGTAACCCAAAGATAAAAGCAAGAGTTCCTTTCCCCGGCAGCTTGCGTTCTTGTGACTCGCACGGCGCTCCCTGTCAAACATCGTCACTAGCAGCGGCCTTTGACACAAACAGAGCGGATCTTTGCTCCTTCCACCAACGGCCATCTTCCGAGCTCAGCCACGCCTTCAATTTTGCAGCTACTGTAGACTCAGCACCAGCTTTGTCGCCAACAAAAATGGGCGGTGGCCTCAAAGTAGTGCCATGAAGATGACTCCGAACTGCTTGCTCTGTGCGAGCTCCCAATTTCTTCGGGTTGTGCACAGCCTCCCACTCTTGCCACAATCGAAGCGAGTGCAACAGGAAAGAGCCCAAACAATCTACGTTGCGATGGCGATTGCACATCTCCATGAAACTGCCTCTTGGCGTCTCAGTTCCCGGAGGATTTTATTCGTTGAAACGAAATTTCTCCAGACTTGGCATCAGCTATATTTTCACATTAGTTTGACCTGGTCTTGCTCTCGCTTTTGAAGCAGCAGTCACTCTTTTTTCAACCCTGGACACATCCCTTTCAGAAAACATTGGGGTATATGGGTGGTGTCTTATCTTCTGTGATCGGCTTTCTTCCGCTTCATTTGGATTCAGCCAGTCAACTAACAAAGCCTGCCCGGCGTCGCCTTCTCCCCGTGTTGACGACGGGGCGTTTCGACCAACCACCGCACGTCGACCAACCTCTTCCGTCGGGGCTCCCAGCGTGCGACGGCCTCGCTAGCACAGGTCCACCGGCTCGCATGGCGGGGCGTGGCGTGGCGCCCAGTGGGTGGCCCAGTATGGAGGCGTGGAGGTGGCAGCGGAAGGGATGCGGCTGTGGGGGCCACTGAGCGTGGCCAGGCTTCCGTTGCCATCGTGGGAGCACCCCAGGGGCGGACACAATGTGCAGTCAGTGTGTTTGGAAGTTTTTTTCCAAAACC